CTGTCCTATTCTTGAACACCTTTTCTTTAAAAGTCCTTTTATCTCCACAATGAAAAATAGCTATAAGTAATTTAGAACACTGTACATGAACATGTGCACGCACAGACACTCTTATGCATACACCAAAATGACCTGGAGAGTTTGTATTATCGTTTCAAAGAGATACAATGCCTCATCCTACTGATCAGAAAGAGAACAATTTGTAATATACTTGGATTCTCGTTGTTTTGCTATGCTCACAATTTTCAACAGTTGCATTGTACTTTTGAAAGTTTAATTCTGCCAGCTTGATGCTTGCGCTGTGATTGGTAAATGTGGTGTAATTCTGCTCCAACCATGCTTGCACAGAATTTCTACCTACTGCCACTCCTGGTGACCTCCTGGCTATTCCTTTCCAACTAAATTGCCAGCCCTGGGTTTGGCCCATATTTCCCTTCATCCCCTTATCTGAAAACAAATACACATATACAAAACCTCCCCATGCAGACTTTCCCGAAGAGGCATTTTTCCTCAACATGGAGTAACGCTAAAGTCAATCAGCACCTGCCCAGGTGCAGGAATCTCCCCCTTGCGCAGATCCAATTGCAGCATTGAAGTGTGTGCTCTAATCGTGTTGGATTTATTACAGGGATGTTACACTCAAATAGCTATTTAGTTTAATGTAGGCCAATTTCTGGGGAATCTTTATTTTGCTTCCCTTTTTTGGAGAGGGCCTGTCTGCACAGACAGAACTGTCTCCAGAGCCACCATAGGATATTTCTTGTATCTTGCCACAAGATCTATATTGATGTTAGAAAATAGTCATTTTATTTTAACTGTATTGGTTCAACTTTCTTATTAAAATAGTCACCAATTAACTATCTGCCTGTACAGAACACGAGAAGTGATACATAAGTGCAAGATTTTAACGAAGTGACAAAGCTCTAAGCTGGCTCCTTACATGATTACTTTATGTGTCCTACATTGTCTGGTATGTGATTTTGTCTATTGGACATATTATTTCTAATTTAACAGGTCATTACAGCTTTAGTGTAATTGCGGGAATAAAAGCACATAAAAATACAAGGATTTCAAAACAAAATGTACAGCTCACATTTATGCAACAACTTATTGCATTTAAAAATTACTACAGTACAAATTAGCATAAACAAGCACACATGCCACGGGGAGCTTGCACTGCAATAGTAGCTGGATTTGTTGTTCAGAACTCCCTGTCCTACACAGCCCTTGCTATTGCAGCCCTGCTCCTTCCCATGTGTGAGCAGTGAAAAACAGTGCTAAAGATCAGGCTCAAGTACTGCAAGCTTTGGCGACAGATGCGTTCTGTTCACATAGCTGGCAGCTCCAGAGCCCGCCAGCTAGTGACCTGGGCTGTGCTTCATACGCCCCTGCTCACGTATTCCCAGTTGATCCAGACATCGTGGATGGAGCTTGAGCTCACTATAGGATTGAGCATGCTCAATGTATCCTCCCTCTTGGGAAGCTCTCGAGCTCATTATAAGGCCTAAGCAGGTACTTCTGTACCAGCCCTGGCTGAACTGCATAGACAGCATCTCAGACAACAGGACCACAATGTCATGTTAGTGACAAGGTTGCTATCATCATACAAGGGCATATAAGCAGGACTGTAGACTGCTTTACACCTGATTTAAGACTCTCCATCACCTAGCACTGGCAAGACCGAGCCTGGAGTACTGTCCAGGTTGGGACACTGCCCTTAAAATACAGTAAATCAAATATGATAAATTAGACTTGGAAAGAACCCAGAGAAAGGCAGCCAGAATAATCATAAGTCAGCCAAACACAAGCTATGAGAAGAGACTGAACGATCTCAGACTGTTAAACCTAAGGAGAGATGGCAGCCTGAGAGGGGATGGTAGCACCCAAACATCTTGGAGGCTACTGCAGTGAAACAGGCAGTGTCGACATCTACACGGATGAACAGGAGAAGTAACAGGATCAAACACCTCTGAGAAAAACTGGAAAGAGATGTTATGAGAAATCTTTTTAAGGACAGGCACAAGTTGCCTAGAGGTACTAGAGAATCTCCATCACTAAAGCACAGGAAAAGCAGGAACCTTACAGGAATGATACAGCTAGAGTGGATTATGCCTTGGGCAAGGGAACAGTGTCTCCTGGTCTACCTTCTCTATCTTCAGGTAGTGATCTACTACACTGCACTTGGAGCTCATGGTTCAGAGAGCTCCAGATGTAGCTGAAACTACAAGGAGGACTGTATTCCAGTTTAACTCTGCATTGATTTTCCCGTGAAACTGTGAGGTTATACAAAAGGCCAGATTCACAGACTACATAATTCAATTTAACTTCACTACCTTGAAAATGGTTTAATTCAACAAAATTGGGCTAAATTACACCAGATGGGAATCTTGCTCCAAATCTATGCCACTGATCATATTTCATCCTCCTCTTTCAACTGACAAGAAACATCAGACTTAGGTCAGAGCCTTATCTTAGGTCAGACTTAATTCTCATGCACTTAAGCTTCCACCTTCAAACAACAGAACTCATAAACTTCTGTTTGCCATCATAAAAATGCTTAAAAACAAATGGTCTCCAGTACCAGGACACACACTTGTCAATAATTTTGTTCATCCTGTCACTTTCATCTTTGAAATAGTTAACCACAATTGAGTATTTGCTTTCCTCTGACACCTCCAGCTGAGACTCAATGTAGAGCTAGCTTAATGAAGAAAAAAATCCCAAATGGACTGTGACATGTCAAAGAGATTATGAACTCTGAAATGCTGTAATACAGTGTTAAACACTTTTCTGTCATCTTTGACAAATTCTGGATTTCCCCAGTTTACCAGGTAAGAAAGCATGGCTGGGTACGAAGAACCCAGATTTTTCCCAGTTCTGCAAGTCCCATGGCATCCAAAACTCTATCACTGCTAACCACAATAAAAAGAACATCTAGAAATCACTGAAACCACAGTGGCATAAATCAGGACTGTATGAGCCGCTGAACAGCAGTGTGAAAAAACAGCGAAGTTGTTTATGAAAATTCTATCCAAGGCCCGTTAGAAAGGGGAACACATTACTGTGGAAATTCCCACACTGCGTCAAAACACAACGCTCCATACAAAGATATTCAAACCTTTAGATGCCTCTAGTAAAGTTACCCCTATCACTGAACACTCCAGGCTTGCCCACTGTTTATTGTGTGAAGTACATCTATGTTCATACAAGTCAGCGTGAGAGAAGCTAAATCCTGAAAAAAGAAGTGTGGAGAAGCATACGGAAGAGACATGCAAGCTGGCTAGCCAGGCTTAGCTGAGCAGTCTGGGACAGTGCCAACGTTCACATCGCATCTGGACTGATCCTGTGCAGAACACATGGCTCTGGCTCCTCTGTACCACCCACCACTGCAGGGGATGATGTGCTACTTTCTAAGAGGTGCCCAGCCAAAAAAATTAAACATTAGCTGACATATGTATTAAATATAATACCAGCCTGAAACCTAGGCTTGCCTGAATCACAGCATCTGATGCTCAGAGTCAGGTTTGCTGGCACAGTCCTGTTCTCAGTGGATTGGTCAGCAGAGATTGAACCCAGCTGTCTTCCTTCAAACTGTCAGGTAAGTGTGATATTCACATAGAGCATAACTGCTGCAATATAAACAAGCCCTAACATTACACATCTCTTAAAAGCAGTGTTGGACCAGTTACATACTTGTTTTATCTGAGCAGATGTCAGCATCTGCTTTAAGTAGAGAGAACCGAAACATTTGTGTTCCTTCCCTGTCCCCAGCCCCCACCCTACTCAAAAGTGAGGAAGAACACCAAGTGTCAGATTTTTCAGTGGCATTTTATACCAGAGCAGAAAGACAGATGTTTTGATGATTCCCCCCCGTCCTCTGCCGCTACAATCTGGGCAGCCAGTCTCCTTGCTAAGCTGTTCACCCTTACTATTAAAATTGATTTGTACAAGAGTACATTGCAGCCAAAGCAAGCACGGCAGTCATTAAAGAGTAGGCTGCTCACACATGTTTCCGTACTTAGCCAAGTCAACTACTGATGAATGGGTCATCTCTTGTCAAGCAACTGTAAGGAACTGGTAAAGAAATAATTTGTGGTTCAGGAACAGCCATGCTGACAGGTGGGCCTTCTCCTCTCCTTTTGCTTTCCAACAGCAGTGTGCTCTGTTTCCTGGTCCTGAACCAATCTCTCATTGTAGTAACAGAAAACAATGAACATGTCCTGGTCAGTCATGAGGGCTTAGGCCAAGAAACTATGGAAATCTTTAGAAAGTAAACATCCAGACACTGAAGCAGTGGTACTGCAAATTATATCATACTGAATAATTCGAACATAAGGAAAGAACAATGGTTCATTAAGGGACCAGGTCAGGGTCAGGAATTAAAACAATACTATGTAATGCAATGATTCTCAAAATACAGCAGACTACTTCTCAAAACTCAAGATGCTTCCAAATATCACACCTCCCCTATTAGTCCTCTCACTGTCCTAAGCCTCCTTCATTTTTCTCAGGTCAGTTCAACATGTCCAGCTTCACTGTTTTACTGCAGACAATCTTGGAGTTAGGGATGCTACTTATTCCGGGTTAACAAACACAGCAAAACAAACCAAAAAAACCCCAAACAAAACCAGAAAAAAAAAAAAAAAAAACCACAAAAACCCCAACAACAATTAAAAAAAAAATCTGCTTCTCTTTGTGAGACCTCTGAAAGGTCTTGGATGAAGAGACCACATATTATCTTAAAATGATAATCATTAAAAATATCTTGAGTCTTAGTAATAGTTATCTTGAGCTCTGGAGAAGACTGCAAAAGCAATCATGCCACAGAGTTCTCACACCAGAGCAGCTTCAAGAAGCCTCAGCTAGGTTCAGGTTACATTTTACTGAATAACGAAAGAAGAGCTGTAAGGGAGAAACCGTGCCAATAGACTGGGAGTGGCTGTATCAGACAAAAACTATATCTGATCCATTAGAAATCTGGTGCCAAATTCCCATCTCCATTCATAGTTTCCACAGCCAAAAGAACAAATGACACCCATGGGAGAAATATTCTCTGTCAGGAACTGGATGGAGATTATAGAGCAGCCTATACTGCGCTCTTCTGCAGGCCTGGGAGTCATATCACACCAAGGATAAGACATGAGGAGTGATGCTCAGCCTTCCTCGAGACCTGTAAGACTGCAGAAGTTGCTACTTCAGCATCCTCATATTTGGAACTGGAAATATTCTAGCATATTGCTCCAGCACCTTTAGTACACAGGAACCTGCACTGCTGGAAGCATACTGCTGAGAGCTGTCAACAGAGAGAAGGTGTGGAGACTTGTAACCCAGACAAACGAGGAGAGACTTTCACAGAGAGATCGAGACATAATGAACAACAAAGCAAATGTGAAGTTTAATTCCTCAACCCCAAAAAACACAAGCTCTCATCTCCAAGGAAACACTTTTTGAACACTGGGAAACTGATCTCCTGTCTTCAAAGATGAAGGAAAAGGTTGGTTCATTTTTACAGGAGTTACGAAAAAGAAAGGACAGCCTAAGGTAACAGGTAATCACGGGAAGCATTGGCCTAAGTGGTTGGAGTTTGGTATAATTAGAAGACAAAGAGGGACTAATTATAAAAACTTTATAATAGACTTTATCTAACTCCCAAACAAATATCACTATCATCTTCCTTCACAATTAACCAAGCACCTGTAAACAAACACAAACTGAACAAACTTGAGTTGCCTCTGCAGGTTTACTAAAACCTGCATTTTTTCACCTCACAACAGCCACCCTGATGTGCCACTCACGACCACAGGGCTGAAAGCTGCAGGACCAGGCCACTAGACTTCATTTTAAATAGGTCCCAAGAATGCAGGCTGGTCTAGGTCCAGGAGGCTCATATCCTCCCTGAGGGCAGACAGCCCTGAGAACATCTGTAACTCTACGAGCCAAATTTCATTAGAACACAATTAAAAGAATTATTTGCCTTTTAAAAGTCCTATTTCCAAGAATTGAACAACTTTGAAAGTAATTCTTCTGGAGACAAAGTAAAGATCTCTGCTGTTATACAGCCTTTTCCAGAGCTATGACTGCCCAGGAGTGAATTACATCACACAAACTCTCTACGTATTCCTTTGCATGCACATTTGCTTGTGGAAGAATGGGCTGTATGTACTGGCACATAAGTACTTCCTCTGTCCTGCCTACACTCTATCAGTTCACTAACCAGATTTAATTTGCTGTTTCCTCCAAAGGCATTTACCTTTGGAATTTTGGTTTTAACAATAGGAGTCTCTTGTATATATACACACACAAAATGACAGCTCTTTAACGATGCTAAGTCAGACAAATGCCCTTTCTATGAACACAGTGCAGGAAAAATGTCCTTGAGTATCTCAGCTACAAAATGCCAATAAATTGAATTTATGTCTCGTTTAATCTACAATGGAACAGTTAGTACTTAAAGGGTACATACACTTCCCTACTCCCTTTCTTCCTGAGAAACTTTCAGATGCTGAAAATCAATTCCTTTTGTCTCCTTGTTATTCATCTGCTACACATTAAGGAGAAACTCTGGGCATTCAGTGATCCCACAATGGTCTTTCATCTCCACAGAAGCCTGGTATGAATTAAAATCTTACGCTCCCTCAAATTATGTATGCATACTGCAGCATGCTGCTGACTTATCTGCTCGTGACTTTTGCCAGTTTTCTCAGCATGCTGTAGCTAACTCATCTGCATCTTTCAGCCTAAGTGACTCTTCTACAACACTGCCCATCCAGCCCATGAAAAGTACTTTGACAATAGTGTACACAAACATATATCCCCATACAACAGGTACCGCTACCTACTCTTTTTTTTCCAACTACTTGCTATTTAGAATTCATATTCAAGAGTGGTTTTACTACAGTCAAGATCTTAGTACAAGAACAAGAAATAATTCATGAAAGTAATATTCTTTCATTTCAGTGGCCTTGAGAGATGAAGATGATATACAAATAACTTTTATCTGACATCATTCCTTTGTCATGTCTGTTTTAAGGGCAATTTTAACTTAGGATGCTGTTTTTCTGTAACGGATGTAAAAACTAATTGCTATATAGACTGCTGCAGCACGGGTCAAACACACGCTGCTCTCACACTCCCAGCTCCCTGCTAGTCACGCTGCTGCATGTCCCACAGCTGGATGTCCCATACCGCAACAATTCAAGGCTTCCACTCTCAAGCCTGAAAGTAAATCAAGGCTTAGCATGTTTTGTTTTCTTGTTTTACTCTTTGTTGCTCTTCCAATCTATTTTTCTCCCTTCCAAATACTATCTGCCCACTCCTCAACTCTCAATATTCCCTGCAGCCAAAGCAACACATTCAAAATGGGGAAACACTTGCAAATCTGCATTCAGATCCTGTCCTACAGGAACCACCATAATTTGCTAATGGCTTCTATATCCAACGCTTTCCCCAGACAAGCTTTTAGCCACCTCGCTCTACAAGCTCTTAAATGAATCATTTATTTGTTTAAATTAGATTTCATTGTGAAATATTTTCCACCAAGCAATCTTGTTATCTATTCAATACGGTAGTTTGAAGAGCTTGAAAATAAAGCCACTGAAAAGCTACATTAACACAGAAATGTGTGCAGGATATGTAACCCTGAACAGCAGTTAAAAGGTGAGACTGCAGCTCAAGCTCACTAGCTACTTTAAGCTCAGATTACAACATATCCAAGAATATTTAGAGCTCAGCATGCTCCTCAAATACATATCCAAAGCTACTGTGGAAACAAGTTATTAACGAGCACTGAACTCCGATGTCTTGTGCAGCCTATGGCAGATAGATTAAAGCTAGCCCAGATACACCTACGGTTTGCAGCCACAAGTGATGCCCACCCAGAAAAGACCTTACCTCGCTTGAATCCTCCTGCTGATTGATAACAGCTAGTGCATCCTCTGCAGCCTGGCGCTTGGCTTCGGCAACAGTGCGCTCCATCTTAGCTCTCTCTGAAGTGATCATGTCGTGAGCTTTCCGCTCTGCCTCCGACACTGCCTTCTGCAACTCAGCCATCGCCTGGCGCTTTACTTCGTTGACAGCTTCCTCTATAAAGGAAGAAAGAAATCCCCATCAGCACAGGACGCTTGGCACAGGGCTACATAGGGCTGATGCACAAAAAGCAGCCCAGCCTCTATTATATTGAGAGTCTTCATTTTGAGGAGGACACAGAGCAACCTGGTTCCTCAAAACTCTTCAGGACCACCCAGGTGCTTCTTTACTTCCCCATCACCAAAACTCCCACAAGCCTTTAACACTTGTGAAGATTCATGCTATTTTCATTCATGGTCAGTACTTCTTTAAGGACAGATATTTCAGATCTCTGATGCATTCTTTTAATAATATTTTTCAACAATTTACTTGGAAAATTGGGTTTGCAGTACACCAATTTATTAATATCTTTGGCAAGAATTATTATTTAAGACATAATATTACAGACTTTTGAAAAAATGTATCTTCAAGCTTTGGAAATTAAGACAGGATTTATAGTCATGAACAATCTTTTTTCCCATATGTCAACAAATAAATACATGATGTTAAGAAATCCCCAAAAGTTTATTTAAAAATTTTAAATCCTTGGTCTAATATCTTTTCCTGGACATATAATTTTACGAGCCAAAATTAAAATTTGTTTATGAACATTCATTTGACCTCTTGATCTCTCCTTCAAACCCATGTTTACACTGTGAAAACTCGACTTCCTGGCTCCGCCGAGCTCCTGAGCCCACCACTGCCAGCAAGGCTTCAGCCCACAATTAACGCTGAGCAGGGGCACGCCGCTTCGCTAAATTCAAACCTTCACGCTTCTTGTAAGATAACTACGTCAGTGTGAACTGTTTCTTTGGTATATACTAGCATCATATCTTTTATTCTGGAAAACATGGATTGTCACAAATTAGTTATTTGGGTTTTGATGCAGGAAGAGTGCAAAGATTTTACTAATGAACAGTCTTTTAATTGACAACTAAAACAAGTAATTTCTTTTTTTTTTTTAATTAACTGCTCTAATTAACAAGGAAACCATCCTCCCCCTGAATTAGTTTATCTAATTTTCATCTTTATTCAAAGCAAAATGACAATGATTAATTGAAAATTTAATAAGCAGTAATTATTAACTTGGCAAACCTAGTACCAATTAACACTCTATTAAAACTAATTATGACATGTTTCATTCAAGTGTTTGCACTTAATTGTTTCATCCACTTAAAAACCACCTTAATTAAATGTTGTGTTTAATTAAAAACATAGATTTCTAATAAAAATGTTTTGCTGTAGATTAAAATCTAAGTATTACAACTGTGTTATGGGTTTGAGTTTCAGTCCATGTATTAAGCCCGTGTATTTGTGTGCATACACGCAAGCATAGACCTAACTCTTATGTATGCATACTAAGACAACCACTCTCCTGAGTTTTTATGTCTCATAGCTTTGCATTGTTATTTTAAAAAATAACCACTACATGAAGTCTCCATTTTCAGTTATTAAGTAAATTACAATACAGACTTGACTTTCAGCCATGTACTGAGTAAAACTGAATTAATTAAAATGAAAGCAGAGTTCTATTACTCTGTGTGTGTGTGTGTGTCTGCATGTCTGTGAGAGATGTTTCAACTCAAGCTTTTGAAGGAGGGGAATTTAGAGATAAAACTTATGCCTTTATTTTTATGAGGCTGAAAATATGCCCTTATATTACCCCTACCATAAATGTTGTTTAGGGGAAAGCCTCAGGAGAGGGAAAAATCATACCCTTCAACCATACAGCCAGGGCTTAATTTACTTTGAATATTCAAGGTGAATTAAAATTCTATCTAAGTGGCAATACAGGACAATAATTTTTGCTTACGATCAAAGCTGCAGCTAGACTAATTGTATATGCAAATCAGGCAATTTATATTTAAATTATGCATTCCTATTCTAGTCCCATAGGCACACACAGATCAGCAAAGGGAATTGGTAGGACATTTGCAAGGTGCTTGAATATTTATTGCCAACTGCAAACATTCACTGATCGTGAGAAAAGAAATATACGCAGGCAAATATACAGATGCAATTTTATTACTATTTTCATAAAAATGAGGCAACTTAAATACAGACGTTTTGTGTCTATGAACTGCCATTATTAACAAAGTGGATTTATTTGAGAAAATCTGTATTCTTGCCGATATTTGCTATGAATAGAAATTATCTTCATATTGCGTGATGCACTTTCATTACATCATATAATTTTAGTTTTACGTTGAGTTGTTTGCAGTGGTTAGAAATGCCAGTTTAAATTATTATATTAAACAGAAGCACAATACACCAGCATTTTATAGACTTCTAGTTTTATAGTTTTTCATCCTACATAACCTACATCTTTTCAGTCCAAATACAGAAATTGAACTTTATATTCTAACTTCTCTATTGCATAAGTTATTCTGAAAAGCTTCTGAAAAGGGTGAAGATGCAAAAAGCACTTACAAGGCCATATGTCTGACTGATACTTTTTAATTGGCATAAGCTATGGATTGGGCTTTAGTATTTCCATTAGCTTTGACAACAGAATTTGTGCTGTGCTATACTAAGTGTGAAAACAAATAGTTAAATATGTCAGGTTTTTTGGTCACAATGTACCACCATTATTTCAGTACATTATGAACTCACAAACACCCAAATAACCTAGACAAAATTTCCTATCACTGATTTTCTGCACATCTTATAATGAATGTTTCTAGTATATACAGATATTTTATAGACATAGAATGCAGGCTTCATGGTGTCAGATAACAATAAAAACTGTAGTATCTGTGCAGGAAAAGTCGTGACATTTTATTTGCCTTGACAGTGTTGAGCTATGAAGACCAAGAGGGATACCAGCAATCTCCCTTTCTCTGCTTTTCCAGAGAAAGGAAGAGTGATTAGATTTTCGTATCAGAAAACATGGATCTGTAAGTTTTTAAAGCCAAATACCTAAGATGCATGTATCTGTATCCTCAATTTTCCCACTAACGCTAAGCATTCTTTCTTTTAGGAATACAATGGACATCTTTCTTCCCTTTGAGTAGTGCTAACTCATGAGAGAAGCTCCTGGGACCCAGCAGCCTGTGTGGAATAGGCGTTACTCAGTGTGATCAGAGGTCCTTAGAGCTGGCTCAGGAAAGGTTCTCATCATTCACTGCCGTATATAACCTGAAATGATGATTCATCAGCCAGCTCCTGGTCACCTCCCTCACATCATGGGCATATTCAGTGCACATGATGAGAAAAGAAAATTGGTGGGCAGGGGCACAGTCCTGCACCACCGTCGCATTTGCATCACCTCACTCTCAGGCTGACCCTGGCAAAGGTGGCCATGGGGAGCTGGTGATGTAAGTAATCTTGGCTTCATACTCCAAACTGCCAGGAACAGTAGGTCTTGCTAAGTGATAGGGGATGGCTGGAAGACAGTCTCCTTATGACACAGAAAGAAGCGAAGGCAGCAGCCCACAGTGGGCATGGGATCCTCTCAGTATTTGATAACGAGAAATAGGTATTTCCAGAGCAAGTCATCCAACCTATGATCTGACGGATCCTCTTCACGTGCCTGTCTCTCTCTTGATGACTGAAGGACGCCAAGAACTTGGCTTGGACTCTCCATCTACATACCCATAATTTAATGAGATGAATCAGGACACTGATGTCTCATTTCCACTGGTGTATGAAACTGAATTGGGTCCACATGGTTTTAATTCACAAGGTGCTGCACACTGTGTGCTTGCTCCAATAATTGCAGTCTCCAAAAGTTTAAAGTTAATGCCCTTTTCACACGCTTTTGAGGTTGCTTATTAACTGTTTCTATGCCAAATTCTTTCATTTCAATGGATGCAGCATCCCAATCAGACTTTATACTTGATTCAGCTGTCTACACGTTGTTCTTTACAGACATTTGAGATAACAAGATATCCACACTGAGCCAGCAGAAATGACCTGTGAAAGATTTGCAGCCTTTTTGACTGGCAGTTGCAGCCCAGCCAGGAAACTGCAGAGCATCTCAAATGGCACTAGAGACCTATTCTTACAGAGCCAAATTCACCTTTACTGCCTTGAACTGATTACGAAATTGTGGAGACCGCCAACTTCAGTGCACCCTCCTGAAAACGAAGGCCCATGATTTATGAAGAGCAGTATGCTTTCTGAAGTTTTACTACAGATAGTAACAGATACAGCTGTGCATCCTGTAGAAAGACTTTTTTTATTCGCCAGCTCACAGCCATGCCCAGTTAATACAAGGAATCTGACTTAAACCCACATCAACATGAAAACAGAGACTAGAAATGGGACCAAAGGAAACTGATGACATATATGTTCACAAGAGGACATGTCACAGCTCCTTCATACTACCATTTGCGGATACATGTGATGTGAATGCACATCCAAATTGTGTAACTCAGGGCAAAAGCTTCCATTAACTTGTATTGATAGCTTATGAAGAAACATTTTTTCCCTGCTGTACTGCATCTAAGATTCATAAATTATGTAATATGCCTAACAGCATCAAAACTCAAATTTTGCAAGAATAAAGTTCACAAAACTCCACGAAACAATGCTCCTCTCAATGAGATTTCCTGGGATCATGTATTTTTTTTCTTATTTTTCATTTAAGATGTTAACAAAAATAGGGAAAAACAAACTATAAAAATACTTTCAGGCATTGTGTTACATAGGCTGCACTCGTGCTGGACAGATGAAAAATATCTAGATTATTTTGTTACTTTTCACAGAAAATGCAACAGTTAAAAAAAAATACTGATTAACATATTGACAAATGTAGACTTTACATGATAAACCTACATCACACAAACAACAAAACTTCTTGTCTGATGCAACAGTGTGCCAGCGTAACATTTTTGCAAATAAGTTCTGCATCTAGTTTAAAATACACAAAAGCAGCAAGCGGTTACAGGAGGTTTGATCAGAAGGCATCAAAAACTGGTGCATATTTGCCATTTAATCATTAACTCCTGCTCAGACAGCCGCAGCAGACTTCATGGTTATACAGGTGTGTGCGTGTGAGTGTATATACAGAAGCTCAACTACCCTGCTGGAGTTCAAGAGCTACCTCCTGGCCCCTCTGAAAACAAGGAAGCTCTGATATCGATGTTGAAAGAGCAAAGGTTTTGCTCCAGCACCGCAACAGGATCCTCGCCAGAAAACTCCTGTGCTCAGGCAGAGTTTTAAAGTGTTGAAGAAAACTGTACAACCACAACATCTGGCCATGCTGCTTTTCCAGCTCGGCGAAGACGCTGTCAATGCCCGTGCAACCACCCAGAGCAGCTGCTGAGATGCAATCTTGCTTACTTCATTGAAAACTTTGCAAGTTTATGAGCACAGACTTCACTGGGGGCTGACAGGCACAAAATCTTTTTAAAAAGAATGGTTACAATGCATCGCTGGGGGTTTTGCTTTAACAGGTATACTTAGGTTTTTTCCCTCCTTTGGGAATTCTGACCTTAACTAGGTAAGAACCTTGAAGCTTTATAAAAAAAAAAAAATTGCACACAAACCTTTTTTTTTTCTTTAAATTGTTAACAGACTGAAACTTTAGCATATCAAGTTTCAGCCTGAAACCATTATAACTCCAGAAAATGGGGCTCCTTAATGGAAGCACTGATATCCCCTTAACTATAGCAGCAGATGCTTCTATTATAAAGATTATTTAATGTCCTGAGCAGTTCCAGTTTAAAATTATTACACACAATTTCTTCTTGTTACCAGTAAGCCCCCCCCCCCCTTTTTTTTTTTTTTTTCATTGCTCACATCAGTGCATTAACAACTGCACACAGCTGCCAGAAGCCTAAGCTGGTGTTTTTAAATAGTTCTTACCAGCTTTCTTCCAGATCTCCTCTGGCACGTATCCAGACGCAGGCCTGTGAAGGAATTCCCGATGCGATTCTGCAGGAGGAGGGGGTGCGGAGGAGAAAAGAAAGAGCAGCGTAAGCAATGCTTGCTTCTCGAACAAGGCTTACAGAAATACCTTTTCCCTTCACTCAGCCAAAGAAAAAAAAAAAAGAAAAAAAACCACAGGAAGTTTTTTCTTAACACAAAATAAAACAGGTGCCATGGCCATAGCTCATGAATGTCACAGACCAGATCAATGTTTAGCACTTGAATGTCTCATCTTAAAGCCAAGCTGAAACTACGTTCATTTCATTTTTATTTTACAGTTACAAGTCAACTCTATATGACAGTTTCCGTGCTTTTAAGGCTGGCTCTGTGAGATCAACTGAGGGAGTAACGTGCTTCATCCTTTGTCATTATGTTTATGAAAAGGAAGAAGAAACAGGGGAACCGTCCGCACTTGGCACTTCTGCTCTGTGAAAACAGAACGGCTACTGACGAGCAGAGATAAAAGCCAAGATGTCATTCCAGTGGCCAAATAAGCCCTCCACAGAAAAAGGGGTATTTCTACATGTTCAGAGCTACACTTTCCTATATCTGAGCCCATGTTGGCAACTGTAGCTGCATGAGTTTGAAAAGCAGAACCTTTAACTTTAGGTTAAGCCCCTAAACACGTATGCTGCCAAACAACCTCACTGGAGCTGGAGCTTGTAATTCACCCATATATTTCAATCACATTTTGACAGCTCTTTCCCCCTCTTGTCTTTTTTTTTTTTAAAGGGATTAAACTCTAAGCCTGAGCCTAAGAGCTCTGAAATCAGCAAGATCCCTTCCACACAGACTTCAAAGATGCAAGATCAGACGATGCAGAAGGAAAATTCACTTTGGCCTGAAATTTAGCATACAGATTCTCAGCAGATGAAAAGCTGCTCTTTTCAAACACAATTTATAAACTGATTAACTATTTTTCAAAGTAATAGAGGAGAAACTAAAAAAAAATAAAAAACCATGAGGGTGTTCATCATCATGATTACTATTGCCTGTGTGATAGAATTCAATCATCAAAATAAAATAACTTGATTTATTACATTAGAGATAAGGTTTGCATCTTTTCAGAGATGTTGCTACAAATTAAACATCCTGGCTGATGTCTGAGTTTGAAACACAACAAAAGTACACATGCCATTCTTTGAATACTATTTTTTTTCTAAATATATTAATTTTTGTATATTAAAGTTATTATTCACTAACTTGCAAAAAGTAGTATTTTTAAGAAAAAGGTTGAATCACTAGGTTTTGCAAATCGTTTTTTACACCACCATACACATGCATACAGTGCTGTTTATATACAGTAGCCTACAGAAGCTTAAATACATTTAAAATATGATGCTTACTATTGCGGACAGCTAACAAAGGTGGGAATGACAGGGGCTGTTTCAGCTACGCAGAGAGCAGGGAATCCCAATCCCTGCGCACTGTTCCACAGATGCAGTTTCTAGCACATGAATCTGCAGACACCAACAGGGTGGACTGAATCTTCCCATCTGACAGGCAGCTGAGTGGATTTCCCCAGCTCTTCTGTTGGCCACTAAAGCATGGGATGAAAATAAACTGGATTTTTGTAGGCGGAATTTCACACCTCTCCAGCATAAAATGCTGGGGGTGTGTGCAAGATTTTGCAAAATGGCTATTTACATGGGTTTAATTGACTTGATAGAGAACTTCAGACCTGATGCTGAAAATGGGAAAATACTCGGTATCACTTGGCTCATGTGATTCTACAGACGACAAATATCATTGTGTACACTTCTCCCTTCCCTTGGAGGCTTTTAGACTTACAGGCACACTGCCAGTTCAGTCAGGGACAGAGGTGGCAGCAGGAAATATTGCCTGAAAACTCAGGAAAGCTGAAGGCAAAAAATTAAAACTCTCTTATTTGCTCTTCCTGCAATACCTGCAGAAAAAGACCCAACCAGACTGAAAATGTGGCAAAATGAGGAAATTGTTGCGTTCATGTCTTGTACTTTTTGTGTTGAGTTTTCCTGTCTGCTATTTAAGGTACCACCCACTGCAAGGGGAACATAACCTTGATTTAAGTCCTTTACTGTGGTACTAAGTATTAAAAATAGATGTGGAGCTGATTTTTCAGTACACATGACTTTCCAAAAATTGAATTAAATGACATAAATGACCAGATTGCCAGCTAATTGTTAAAATTTCCAAAACATAAACATCAAGCAAGCCCTTATTCCAACCACAAATTATTTACATGAGGAATGAGATCCTCTGCAAGAAGAATTAAATCAAGAGCTTGTGAGAGACTTTCCCATAGTTTGGAACGGCACACAAAAAAAGACAAGAAGCACTTATGAAGATAACAAAAAACACATTTTCCAGGCAAGAAAAATATTATTAACATGGCTCTTGTTTAGTCAGTGGTGATGAGTCCATGAAAACAATCTTCTTTTGGGGACTAAACTACAGGACCTGACCATAGGATATGTCTTATATTATTATTATTTTTAAGGTAAGTTGTTCTTCAGATTAAGAATCACCACTGAACTTGCTCACTAAAACTAACACACAAGAGATCTTAACTTGGACATCTAGCAAACTCAAACCAAAAGTAATACAATTCAGTGAATTCTCTAAAATATTAAATGTACCCAACTGAAAAAAGCCATAATGAAGAAGAATACATTATATTAACTGACTGACTGCAGCACCTAGAAGCCAAAGTAAATTCTGCCTGGAAGGAAATTGAATGAAATCAGAAAAAATTAGGAATAACATGAAGCAACAAGGCAGCTCATACAGAAAAGGATAATGGGAAAGGCTTTACATGTCAGATATAATAAAGATTTGTTAATGGTGAAAATGCAATGTCATTTTGCAGAACAATGGGATGTACACTACTGAATTTACTTGAAATCCACAGCAAGTCACCGTGTGAGAGCACTTGTTGATAATCAGTCTGGTTCCTACTGAACCAGATGAAAAAGCCCAACAAGGAAAATAAAAAGCAAATATACATGAGTGAATATACAGGACTCCTCTATGAAGACCTTAAATGAAGTAAAAATAAAATAGATTTTGAAATCAGAAATGTTTTTGGAATTTCGTATTTTCATGTGAAACAAACTTTTCAGCAAGAAAGTTGTTGGACTGGGACATAAGAATACATGAGGAAAAGACAAAATTGGTCTCAGTTTCAGCCCTCACATTCTATTAAACAGCAGGGAACAACATAATATGTTATTCTGTAAAATATATAGAAATAGTACTATTTTTAGTCTATCCTGGATTTTTTTTTTAAATAGAAAAACATTCACAAAAAAATTCTATTGTCACAATATGGTGCTGAGTTCCATATGGGCCCCATTGCATTTATTTCAAGAACACATTCAACCATAAGAATCATTGACAGTTAATTGGTCAACCAGGTTTCTGGGGTTTGATGAGTAGAAATATCTTGTAGACTGCTTCTTTTTAGTGGTTTTAAGATGAAGAGAATAGGTGCTCAAAGTACTGAAAGAGAGAGATGTGGAGAGTTGTAAGAGCAGAAATAAATATGGGTCTAGGAAACAAAACTGTAATGAAAAGCTAGGACCAAATAAAAAGTATGAAATCTTGCATGATAATAAGGACCAAACCCAAGAAAACAGAATAGAAAAACTTAAAAGGAAAAGATGTCTTCAAAACTGTCAAAAAGCCTAATCCATATTTGGAAAGATGGAACAGAAGATGGGTTGAAAATACGAAAGAATGGAGGTTTTTATCACTGGACAATGACATCCAAGCCTAGAATAACAAAATAGTAAGAAAGAGAGATGGACAGCTGATCTTTTGAGGATATTATAGAATTTACTGTATTTATGAAAATATTGGCAGTGACAACAATACCTTACATGTCATAGGGAACATTAGGGCTAAAAAATAATAAAAGCTGCATATAACCAGCCATGAACTACAGATTATTTGATATATTAAATACATATGCTTTTATATGTATTTATATGCTTTTCATATTTCATATGGAAGTTTTGTTTCATTCTACCCTATAATAAATGTAACAACATTGATGGGGCACAGACAACAAATAAATAACTTCCCAGAGCAACACATATAAAATATTCACTGACTTATTTGTAATAGTCAAGCTCAAAAGTGTGCCACTCCAATTTATGAAATATACAGACACAGATCCAAAAAAGTGTAATACTGAATGAGACAACCTTGCTAGCCTTGATGGAGGGCATGAGTTTCAAGTATTTTTACGTACATCTTTGCCATTCTTTGTCCTCTAATACATTTTTGTGGCTATTACAACACTCCTTGAACATATGTGAAATTGTGTTAAAAATCTCATTGTACACATAGAAAAACAAGAAAAGGAAAATCACACGGGTACTGTACTCCTGATTCATCCTCAACTAAGATCAAACTTCCAATAACTATCAGCAAGAAATCTTCTCCTCTTTTATGCCACCTATGAGTTATTTTGCAAAGCACGACAGTAGCAAGGGTGGTATAAGGAAGGGGTGAAAGCCACCCTAGTTCCAAGGAGTTCAGAACCAAATACTAAGAATACCAACAACACAACGTTTCTGCAGCCGCAGCCCTATCTAGCAGCATGAAATTCAGTACACCACAATCCAGCCCAGACCTCCTGTGCAGCAAGTGGATTAAGAGCAATACTTGATATCAGTGACCATTATTACAGAGGCTTTGCATTCTAGAATTACAAGTTATAAATGTTACTGTGGTATTCACAGCATTCCCTTTAGCTCATGTGGATAATATCATGCATATCACAGCAATGCTGATTATCTGCAAATGGCAAAGGAAAGATTTTATAATCACAGCACGAACAGACACATATCAGC